CCCAAATAAAAATATGATACGCGATCGCATCAAAGGGTGAAAGGCTATGGTTAATATTGCGATTTAACATAGGTTTAGAGGAGAGCCATTTAAATTTCAAACATTTGAAATAACGATGAAAATTTTAGCGTGATATGGACATGTGATGCGTAGAGAGATGAGGCATGTTAAGGTCTCAGTATAGATACAACCGGCTGCCCCACCCTTCAAACCGAAACGCATTACTGCTTCACCAGTAATTACGCAAATTATAATTTAGCGGATTTGATTTTTAATACACGATGTTATTCCTTCACCGTGGAAGTAAATCGTGAACATTTTGTTAAGTACGTATTTCATTAGAAAAATTGGTACCCGCCTGCGGGATTCGAACACCGGTACATCGCTAGACACCAATGCACCGGACGTCTTATCCTTTAGGCCACGACGACTTCAAATAATAGCTACAAATACACGTTTAAACACTAAACCTAACTAACATTTAATTTAGATTAATCATAGATAATTTATCTGATTTCTCTATTCTTTTTTTATATGTAAAATAGTAAAATGATCACTATATTGTTCATCTAATATATAAAATTCTCGTGTCACAATGTTCGTTCCCATACTCCTCCGAAACCGCTTGACCGATTCTCATGAAAATTTTTATGCATATTCAGTAAGCCTGAGAATCGGCTACTATCTATTTTTCATACCCCTAAGTGATTAGGGTGTCCACCCCTAACATATTTTTTTTTATTTGGACATATTTTTTTTTTATAATGATGTATTATTATGTGGTTGAATGAGGTTTTGTTATTTTTATTACATATTCCCTCATCGTTCACAGAACTACATACCTCTTTCACTAATTTACCACATCCTTACACACTTACAATAAGTTAGTTTTTTTTTCTACACTAGAAATTCCCTACAAATCTTATATATGGCAAAACAATGTTTGCCGGGTCAGCTAGTATTAATATATTATATTTATAAACTAGCTTTTGCCCGCGACTTCGTCCGCGTGGAATAGTTACTTTGGCATAACGCTAAATCTTACCCGCCTCTTCATTTAAGTAGAAAGTGAAAATATTTTTGAATAATAGAATGTTAAGGAGTTATTTAAGGTACCAAAATCACGCTTTTTAACCGACTTCAAAAGAGGAAGTTATCAATATCAACCATAACTTTTTATCTATGTATGATCACCGATTTCTCGAGACTGCTTGAACCGATTCTGATAATTCTTTTTTTTTTTTGTTCGAAAGGGTAGACTTCCCGAATGTTCCTGCTTACATCAAGATTTGATGATGAGATCTTGGAGAAATCCAGAAAAATCTATAATTGTCAAAGCCTATCTTGAAGTGATTTGGGTGTTTCAATGTTGTAATGAATAACGTATTTCTTTGGATAGGGATTAATATCATCTTTGTAAAAACACCTTCACAAATAATGCTTTATTTTAGAACAAATTTGTTTAACATAAAAAACGTTATAGTGAGCCAACCTTAATATATAGACATATGCTGCCACGGACTTTTTTTTTAGATCTTTTAAAAGGGAACAATTCTCTCACACATTACTTTAGCGAAACTTTAACCGTTTTCCGCAGCGCACGCAGTGGAAGCTCTCAAAAGGGATTAAAACCCCGATTTTGAAACACTCTTTATTGGTACTCCGCTTGCATTGGTCTTAGCGCGATGCTATATAGCCTTCCTCGATAAATGTGCTATCTAACACTGAAAATTTCAAATTCATTTCAATCATTTTCATTCATTTTCATTCATTTTCAAATCGGACCAGTGTTCCTGAGATTAGCGCGATCAAACAAACAAACTCTTCAGCTTTTTTTTTTTTTTTTTTTTATTGCTTAGATGTGTGGACGAGCTCACAGCCCACCTGGTGTTAAGTGGTTACTGGAGCCCATAGACATCTACAACGTAAATGCGCCACCCACCTTGAGATATAAGTTCTAAGGTCTCAGTATAGTTACAACGGCTACCCCACCCTTCAAACCGAAACGCATTACTGCTTCACGGCAGAAATAGGCAGGGCGGTGGTACCTACCCGTGCGGACTCACAATAGGTCCTACCACCAGTGGTTACGCAAATTATAATTTTGCGGGTTTGATTTTTATTACACGATGTTATTCCTTCACCGTGGAAGTCAATCGTGAACATTTGTTAAGTACGTATTTCATTCGAAAAATTGGTACCCGCCCGCGGGATTCGAACACCGGTGCATCGCAACAACGAATGCACCGGACGTCTTATCCTTAAGGCCACGACGACTTCCAACTTTATAATATTAGTATAGATATACTAGCAGACCACACGTTGCTGTGACTAAAGTTTTGTTTCTAAATAACAATATATCATATTATAATCCATATTATAAGTTCATGACATAACAGACTTCTCAGTCGGTCGTGATTCCGATCCGGCGATAGGTTTGGCGAAGCGCTCCTCTTGCTAGGGCTAGTTCTCAGGTAATTCTCTCAGGTATCCGCGTGAAGTTACAATAGTTATTTAGGCTGTAAACGATATATATGATTTAAACGAAACACGGGCTTGTATGGTGGCAAAAATTAACACAATTTTGGCCCTTCAATCCTTAAAAAACTGCGTTCTTCCGAACGGTGATTTCATACGTTCTCCAACTGGAAACCGAATTAGACGCTATCAGGGTCGCAGCTTTTAAGACGGAACGCATTTTGTATTGAACAATCATACCCACTCGAGACATGTTCTCAAGAGAAAGCTGTTATCAATGCATGTGTTCAGATAAGGCACTTGTGTGGAGGCGCCACTCCCAACTACCGTCTGGGTAATGTTTGGAGTTACAAGAACGGTTCAAATGGTTTTTTTTTTGCTGTGAATTCACGACGTAGACGTTGTTAGATGAGTTTACTGTAATCAGATGTATTGAAAAGGGGGCGTTCCGATTAATACGCGACATTTATTTTTTTAATGAAACGTGCGTTTTGTTTGGTATCAGCATCAACAGTTCGATGTTTTTAATTGAACTTCAATTAAGTTCAGTTCATTGAAATAGCTGAAGAAGTTTTTTTTTATTTTAATTTTTCTTTTGCTTTGTTAGATGGACGAGCTCACAGTCCACCTGGCTTTAAGTGGTTACTGGAGTCCATAGACATCTACAACGTAAATTCCGCCACCCATCTTGAGATATGAGTTCTAAGTTCTCAGTATAGTTACAACGGCGGCCCCACCCTTCAAACCGAAACGCATTACTGCTTCACGGCAGAAATGGGCGGGGCGGTGGTACCTACCCGTGCGAACTCACAAGAGGCCTACCACCAGTAAAAATTTAAATGCTTAAAAGCTTAAATGACTTCGATGTAAAGTTGCAAAAATGTCTTTTAAACCCAATAAGCCTTTGAGCTTTAGATATAATGAGCGGATGAAAGTGGCTCAGAATGGTTTTCTAAATAGATTATTTCTTTTGTAACCTGAACGGAATTAGAATCTATATATTAATACGTGAAGCAAAAACTTGGTATCCCTTTTTACGAAAATTGCGCGGACAGAGGAGTATGAAATTTCCCACACTTATAGAGAATATAGAGAAGGAGTGCACAATGCTAATATTTTTTAAAAATAATGCATAAAAGGTGACATTAAATCAATAAACAAAACATTACACACACTGCCATGTATTTGACACACACACATATGTATATATACTCTTTTTTTATTGTCAGACTTTAAATTGTCAAAAACTGTGGTCAAATTGAAAATAGGTTAATATTGTTTATCTTTAATATTATTTGTCTAGTGTAGTCTTGGCGAAATCTGTGATTATAGAAGTATATCTTTGACAATATAATCATAATAATGTTCAAACTTATAATTTCAATTAATTATAGTCGAATTTCGACTACTGCGGGACCACTAGTTTTTATTTAAAACGCGTTTATTACTTCGCCTAGTAATGTAATGAAATGAATTCGAATCTTGAGTTATCAGAGACTACAATCAATTCTGATGTTCTAAAATAGTATCATCGCCATTTTTTTCTAGTAGGGGTCGTAATGCGACTAATAAAAGCTGCGGTGAATGGGCAGCAGCATGCTTAATGTTGTGCCAGCGAACTGCCATCGTCAATCGGCATTTACTTATGGTAGGCCGCATTGTAGGGTCCGCACTGGTAGATCCCATCCTTCTATAAGCCTACTATATTTCCGTTATGACTCCCATGAGCCCTAGTGTCACTTAACCCTAAAGCCCCTCGACCTCATCCACCCCATAACAGCAATTATAAATCCATAAACTGACCGCGTGCCTATCTCTAATCTATGATGTGTGATTTAGATAATGCGATGATAACATTATTCGAATCAGACAAGGGCAATACGTTTTTATTATATTATAACGAGTTTAGTTGTGAAATTGGATTTTCGTCATGGCAGCCATCAAAAACGTTCATAAAAACGAATGGTCCCCCCCCCCCCCAGTAGTCGAAATTCGACTATAATTAATTGAAATTATAAGTTTGAACATTATTATGATTCTATTATCAAACACTATTATACTTCTATAATCACAGATTTCGCCAGGACTACGCTATAGACAAATAATATTAAAGACAAACAATACATATTAATCTATTCTCAATTGGACCACAGACTTTAAACAGTAACAAAAGTTTGACAATAAACATAGAGTATATAATGTACAACATATATATAATATAATACAACAGCTAGAAATAAATGAAATCCATAGGCTTTTTGGTGTTATAATATTCTACATGGACTACTAAGGAATATGCTGGAAGTCGTATGAGTAGCTAGTGTATTTTTTTATAAAAGTTAGTCTGAACTTAAATTTTGATCATGAAAGCTATATTTTCTTTATTTTTAATCTGGGTACTACCTAAGATTTTTATTTATTTTTTATTTTGTGTCTCCAATAGCTCTACTATGAGGTGTTTCGGGATTATGCATTCTTTCTGGGACACCCTGTATAAAGATACTGGTGTTAGCTATGAATACCTGGTTCCCGTCAGCGTTCCGTCTCCTGGGCGGCGTGTGATGGAGGTCAGCTCTGAAGCCGCCCGCGGGCTCTCCATCACTCTCTAATACTTTCAGTAAGTATGAGATGTAGGACGTTGCCAGCCGCAAGGTCTTGATCTGATAACGAAGAGGAAAATGAATGGTCTGTTAGTCATCTTGAAGCATACAAGAGCCCCGGTAAACGATAAGCGACCTTTGAACTATAGAATTGCGGTTGGGCGCGAAAATAAGATAATTTATATATTAATATGCTTAAAAAAATATTACTTGTCAGTAAGTCGGTTTACGGACGATACTTTTACGTGATAATGTCAGTAGCAGAACTATTCGAATTGTTAGCTCTAACGTCACGCGAGAAGAGAGATAACTGTGTCACAAGCCGTGGCCCGATCGTGCCTCTCTATCGCTTGTTCCGCGCTCTCGCTCGCAAGCCTAGGCTCAGGCAGAACGTGACACTTTATCGCGCGTGCAGCCGGTGTTCATCGATTTATACGACGTTGTTATCACGTCAAAACCGCTTACTTCGATATAAAAGCCATATCAGACGTAAATATGTCATTATATTCTCAATTTTAATCATAAGTTGGAAGGGTTTGGGACGAAAAAACGCGATAAATATCTTCTTTATCTTTATATAAATATATATAGATTTCTTCTGTGCGTGTGTTTGTCACTGAAATCCTCCTAAACGGCTGGAATGATTTGAATGCATTTTTTTGTATGCGTTTTGGGTGGTGCCCTGGATGGTTTAGCTTCACAAATCAGCGCAGCAGATGGCGCTGTTGTCAGTATCTAGGTTATTTATCTATACTGCAACTAAACGGCTGGATCGACTTTTTTTATTGCTTAGAGCTCACCTGGTATTAAATGGTTACTGGAGCCCATAGACATCTACAACCTAAATGCGCCACCCACTTTGAGATATACGTTCTAATGTCTCAAGTATAGTTACAACGGCTGCCCCACCCTTCAAACCGAAACGCATTACTGCTTCACGGCAGAAATAGGCAGGGTGGTGGTACCTACCCGCGTGGACCCACAAGAGGTCCTACTACCAGTAATGACTCGAATGAATTTTTGTGTATGCATTCACAGGACAACGTCTGTCGGATCCTAGCTCGTAGAAATATATAAATAGGCCGAATTCACAGTTCAGAGGTCGTTATGTTTCCGGGACGCGACTAACCTTAGTCATTTTAGTGTCGGGCAGTACATGGGGAATGTGCTGCCTAAGATTCGAGAAGGCTATGTTGATAGTTTGAGATCTCTTGCGCACCATCTGATACATTTAGATCACAATGAGTTCGAAGTTAACAATAGGTGAACTGGGTCTGACGGCAGAAGCCGCTGGTGATGTGGAAAGTCTCTCCAATATACTTATATAGTGAGTGTAAAGTGTAAAGATATGTAATTACCATTACAATTACAAACATATGTAATTACCGGAATAACAAAGGTATTTTTGAACATACCAATGATAAAATGTGTTTTTTTTTGTTGCGGGCTATCTGCCTGTGATATTTGGAGGAAAATTTGGTGTAAGCTATTGACATTAAGCCCTGGATGTTCATCAGTAAGTCGAGATCAAAATTTATTCTCAGTGAAGTTCATTTACGCTAATGCTACTTCACAAATACACGTTGATCCAAGCAAAGTAAGGAGTTTCACACACAATTTTTTATCCAGAACTTCTTCACGGGAAACTTCTGTACTCTGTAGTGCAAGTTACTGTGTCCTCGCGATCCGCACAAATGGGTCCGCGGTCCGCCATTTGGTGACCCCTGGACTACACGATCAATTATATTGCGCAATATTGCGAATTGAGCAATATTATTGATTAGATTTAATGTTGAAGATTGCACAATGATTGAACGAAAATTTGAGCCAGTTTAATTTTTTGCACCATATTTTTACATTGCATCGTTTAGGGTCAATATTGCGCTGTCTTTCAGTCCGTAGTTCGTCTTGACAGGGAGTACGCCCATAACCATAACACGAAAACACTGTGCAATTCGTATTATTGTGCAATAAAATTGATCGTTTGAATTCAAAGCGCCTTTCAATCTTATTGTACATTAAAATGTATTGTACAATGTCATTGTAAGTCTAAAAGTCGCCTCACTCTCTACCGTGTTAAATAACTACTGTCTTACTCTTCGAGCTGGACTGACTGACTGCTTTGCAACAGAAATAGGCAGAATTATGGTTCGCAATCTGGTCTACCACCAGTCAATGGTGGTAGTCCCTGCCGCCGACGACGACACCCGCCAGAACAAATGTGCTGGTACTATTCTTAGTCATCACCAGCAAACAGATGGTCTGTTTTTTTGGGGATAAAATTACCTAGGGCATCGTTCTGATTGAAGCCTTGCTCGAAAACCATTTAAAATAATTCAAAATTCTAAAAAAACTGACTCTAACGAAAAACAATTAGTATATCATCAATATAGTCTCGAAGTCAATTTAACGTGCATTATTAAGAATAACCAAAAAATCACTGGTAGAATCTTGATACTATGTATTCAATTAGGAATACGCGAGAAGCGATCAGTTTTCGAATGTAAATAATAAAAAATTCCAATCATTAAATTCGGTACATCTTGAAAAATTACTCAGGTGACATTTAAAATTTGAAAATATGTACAGTCGAAATCTATACCCTTCTTTTTTAATAATCTGTTAAGAATAGGTACTTATACGTTTAACTAGCGAGAGAACGAGACAGAACACTTCTGAATGTTGTAAGACACAAGAGCATGTCAGTTCAGTTTACCTTTTCTGTGTTTGAATTGAGAGGTGATGTGACTCACCTTTGAAAGTTTCGTGTCTGGCGGCACATTAGGTATACAATCACGCAGATCCGAGAACGCTGTATTAATGTTTTCGGTGCGTCTCCTCTCCTTCTTGTTGGCTGTGGTACGCCGCTTGGCGACTCTGATGAACGATGGAGGAGCCGGTCGCTCGTACCGGAGCGGGAGGGACTGGAGATCGCAATCAAGACCTACGAACGATTTATTCGGAGGTACATTCACGATCCTCACATTTCATGCGACTTAACTGCGACTTAATATATCGAAAGGGAATCTGGACTAAATGACATCGAATAACCATTACAATAGAGATAATTGAAGTTTATTTATTTTTTAATAAAAATCTCTATTCGCTATAAAATATTCACTGGTAGCCTAAGGGGTTATTCCAGCTACGCCCGGACGGTAAGTTGAGCTCACGGGCTCGACCTGAGAGAATTTGCTAATACTAGAGTTTGCCTAGCAAGAATAGTGTTTCGCAGAATCTACCACTGGATTGGAATCGCGACCCACTGAGAAGATCTGGCGAGAAACTCTGTGGGCTGTGCTTACACTTTAATAAAAGGGCAATCTAACCATACTCATTCATACCCTCAGTCTGAAATAGCTACTAAGATATGTCCGTAAATAAAAAGGATGCTGTAATGTAGTTTTTACAGAGCATGTAACGCGATTGAGCCGGTGTTCGAATCCCGCAGACAGGTAATAACTAAATTTTTGTAATGAAATACGTACTTCACGATTGACTTCCACGGTGAACTAATAACGTCGTGTATTTTTTTATTGGAGTTTACTCCTTTAGAATCGATTTACATATATAGGCCCGGGGTATGAAAATTATGGGGACCAAAATCGTACTAGCATGTCACACGAAATGCGTTATGCGCCTGATTGCGCATGTCACACGAAATGCGTTATCGCAGGTGACGCCGGGCTGCTGCGCCGGCAGTCCGCCACAAAGCCTCGTACTGATCGCGCGTTTCTCTCATTATTGTATTTTCATATATTTGTTAGTCGTTTGTTTTGTGTCTCGTTAATTTGTTAATAATCTGTAGTGTATCGTGTTGTCGTAATATAGAACTATTTCTCGTATTGTTTCGTTTAATTTTTTATATCCAGTAAACTCCAGTCGTGCGTCGGAGCGGACACACACACTTTTTTTTTTTTATTGCTTTGATGGTTGGACGAGCTCATAGCCCACCTGGTGTTAAGTGGTTACTGGAGCCCATAGACATCTACAACGTAAATGCGCCACCCACCTTGAGATATAAGGTCTAAGGTCTCAGTATAGTTACAACGACTGCCCCACCGTTCAAACCAAAACGCATTACTGCTTCACGGCAGAAATAGGCAGGGTGGTGGTACCTACCCGTGCGGACTCACAAGAAGTCCTACCACCAGTAAATAATAAACTCGCAAAAATAATAATTTGCATAATTAGTGATAATCGGGCGTGTTATCAGCCTGCTTGGGTAGATACCACCACCCTGCCTGCTTCTGCCGTGAGGCAGTAAAGCGTTTGGTTTTGATGAATGGGATAGCTGTTGTACTGTAAAAACTGTGATTTACAACTCATGTCGTTAGGTGGGTGACGGCATTTACGTTGTCTATACTATCACCTGGTTGATCGCGAGCTAGTTTAAGCAAATATAGGCACGAAAAAAAATATTATATTATTTAAAATACTTAAATCAATGTAACAGTAGCATTTGTTTTTTATTTATTTATTACATTGAATGTTTGTCCTTTGTGCATTATTAAACCCAATATCGAATTCTGACATATTGTTATTTTACGTACCTGAGCCGTTCTGAGTGTAGGAATGATGAATATTGTGGTGGAAAGGATCGTATGGCTCGTTCGAAGTGACCTGCATCTCATCGTAACCTAGGATACAAAGAAATATATATAAAAAAGTCAATCTTCTCACCCTAGCGAATTTAGTCAAGATATTAGAGCGAAGTTATGAAATTATTCTGTCGACATTGACCCTTCACGCGCGTGCCGATTGTCAAGTTGATGGGGCGCGATGAAATATTCCATCACATAGATAAATAGATACAATCTAATAAAAGTGTGATGAAAACATTTAATATCTTTGTTATCACTGCGAAATACGCATCTTATAACTCGCTAGGTCATTGTCATGTTTACACGTTTACGGTGACGGGACAGACTGCTGCCGAAACCATGCTTCCCTGGTAGATTTTGCTCATAACATCTCTAGAAGCACCGAGAATCGATATCCTATATGATGTGCTAAGGATGACGGCTTTTATAGCGACTAAGTCACGTATGTAATTTGAGAGATGCGCTCAGATACATAATCACCTTCGTTCAATTTCCTCAGACCAAAAATTACACGACAGCTTTAGGCAATGAATATCTTCTTTAATAATACAAATCACATCCAATCGTTACATTAAATTTTTTTACGATAGCTTTTTTCTCGATTCGCTTTCAAAAGTTCTTCCTACGTGCCCTATTGTTTAAAACATCAAACAACACGAATGACAATAACTATATATTGCAATTTTAACGAAAAGAGAAAACCGTTTTGAATACAATGAGTATATCGTCAATGTAGTCAAAGTTAATTAAACACGCATTATTAAGGTAACTCAAAAACCTTTGGTCGCATCTTGATACGATTTAAATGGGACCATACCTATTTTAAATAACAAAGAATCGTCAAAGTCGGTTTTCTTAATAAAAAATGTGTGCGTGTACTAGTGTACACACGTAAGAAGTGAAACTTATTTATGGCCTTATTTTTCGAAAAATGATCTACATGCAACTTTCTAGAAATTGGTTAAATAAAGTTAAATTAGATAAAGTTTAAACAAAAGGATTTTATTATCATAGACATGAATACAAAAAAGTTAAATTAGATAAAGTTTAAACAAAAGGATTTTATTATCATAGACATGAAAAAAAAAAAATGTGTGCGTGTACTAGTGTACACACGTAAGAAGTGAAACTTGTTTATGGCCTTATTTTTCGAAAAATGATCTACATGCAACTTTCTAGAAATTGGTTAAATAAAGTTAAATTAGATAAAGTTTAAACAAAAGGATTTTATTATCATAGACATGAATACAAAAAAGTTAAATTAGATAAAGTTTAAACAAAAGGATTTTATTATCATAGACATGAATACAAAACAGATGGCGCGTAACGGAAAAATGTGACGCGTAACCGAAAAATGTGACGGTAAATTTTTTAGTTTCACTTCAAAAAACCTAGAATTTAGCACCTTCTCAAATTTGGAAGGAGGCTAAAACTTACCATAGCTTCGTCCTATGAAGTGCGCGTTGTCATGGTATATCTCGGAGGAATCCAATTCATGACCTTCAGGGTTGGGAGCCGGCCAATACACACTGCCATCCATGGAGCTACCTGAAAGATCTATATTTAGAGTAACCGTTTGGCTTTGTCTAGAAAAACACGATCTTTTTATAAATTTACTAGCTGACCCGGCAAACATTGTTTTGCCATATATAAGATTTCTAGGGAATTTCTAGTGTAGAAAAAAAAACTAACTTATTGTAAGTGTGTAAGATGTGGTAAATGAGTGAAGAAAGTGCTGTGAACGATGAGGGAATATGTAATAAAAATAACAAAACCTAATTCAACCACATAATACCTCATTATAACAAAAAAAATGTCCAAATAAAAAAAAAAATGTTAGGGGTGGACAACCCTAATCACTTAGGGGTATGAAAAATAGATAGTAGCCGATTCTCAGGCTTACTGAATATGCATAAAAAAATTCATGAGAATCGGTCAAGCGGTTTCGGAGGAGTATGGGAACGAACATTGTGACACGAGAATTTTATATATTAGATTAAACTGTGAACAAATCACGCACGATCATCTGGTTCCAAATTAGGATTCCCTGTGTTATGGGTACCAGAGATTGACATACATACATAAATACGTTTAAATATATAAATATATAGATAATAACCGCCCAGACAAAGAGCAAAACTGGTCATCACACAAATATTAGCCCGGTGCGGGAATCGAACCCACGACCCTCGGTGTAACAGTCTGTGCAACTAATCACTGGACCACCGAGTCAGTCAACAATACAAACTACTTTTACGAATTAATCTCTCGTTTTTTATTGTAATTATATTATTTTAATGGTAACAGACGGAACCTTGTACCATAGAGATCATAAAGATCATACTTTACAATTTTCCTGAATAGTTTCGTGGCCACGAAAACTGTAAAATATCTGAAACATAGGTCTTTACGCATCATCTCCTCTTTCTTGAAGTCGGGAAAGACGGAGGCAGCGCGGCGAGGGAGGGGGCGGTAAGCCGGCGGAACGGTGCAAGCTCCGCGTCGCGTGAAATGCACAACCACCTTCACTTCTGAACGGGACTCAACAGCTACAAGACGCACAATACTAATTATGTACAATATTACTTTCACATTAAAACTAAAAAGAATTTAATAGTATTCGTAATTTAACGGCAGAAGTCACAAATCACCTAAGAAATTATTAAGAGATTAACCCTTTAAAAGTTGTTTGCATCACAACTACATCATAGAGTATCGAAATTATATCGCACACCTAAAAAGGATTAGTGTCGAAAATTTGAAGTTTAACATTTGTTCAAACACAGCTCTGTGTTAACTGAATAATTACACTACATATGTGTGGGTTTAAGATAATTATTAAATAATATTTCTGTATCTAAACGAGAGACGACTCGAGCGAAAAAGGAGATATCACTTCGTTTAGGAAACAAAGCGAAGACGAATTCATTCTAGAAATGGTACGTGGTAATAATGTTATCCGGATATGAACAGCGGAAGAGCGCGGCATTTCTGGGTGGTAGGGGTTGTGCTCTGGTGGTGGTATGGTAAAACGCGATGGAAAATAGAGAAAGAATCATAGTTCCCACCACAGATCCTGACGACTTTGAGATCGGAATGATCGCCAATTCGAACGGTCTTAGTGAGTCAAATTGTGGTGCTTGGAGACACCGGTCCATGACGACAGAGATCACTGGTGGATGGTAAGAATTACTGCAGCGAAGAATTCATGTCGTCCAGTTTAAAGTATCAAGCTCCAAGGCATTCAGGAGACACCTATAGATTCCGAGAGGCCGTCTATGGAATGAACGGCGTGAAATCCAATTTCGTTCAGCTTAGGAGTCCCAAAATTCCAAAAGCCAATATGACTTCACTTTAAAATTACTCGGATATTGAAAACCGCTCGCAAATATCGACTCCAAGAATCCCATTCTCGTGTAAGTTTGAACAGCTTTTTTTTCTTACCTAAGCTGATTGAGAGGCTATGTCAGCGTAACCTAACAAGTAGGTGAGCTCACGGGGCTCAAACCAGACGACGTTGCTAACACTAACCTTAGGAAGAACAGTGCTTCGCAGAATCTACCACCGGATCGGAAACGCGACCCACTGAGAAGATCCGGCGAGAAACTCAGTGGTCTGTATGAATTAATTCGCTCGTCGAATTGTTGACCGGGTGACCGGTGCTTTGAACAGCAACACTGGCTTTACATTGTTAAGCCTAAGCTGACTCTCAATGCACCTGTGTCCAGCGCGCTCAAGCCGTACCTTGATGTGGTGGTTGACAGTAGAATGGTGGATCGTATCTGTCGAAGCCCTCGTCCGACGGTGACATACTTCCGTAGCTCGACATTTCGATAATCTGCCAAAATTAAATACTTGTTCAGTCAATTTTTCTAATGAAATACGTACTTAACAAATGTTCACGATTGACTTCCACGGTGGAGGAATAGCATCGTGTAATAAAAACCGAACCCGCAAAAAATTATAATAATTTGCTATATAAAAATTATAATTATTATAATTTGCGTGATTACTGGTGGTAGGAGTCTTGTGAGTCCCCACGGATAGGTACCACCGCCTTTGCCACCGCTACCTTCTTGCTTAGATTGGTGGACGAGCTCACAGCCCACCTGGTGTTAAGTGGTTACAAGAGCCCATAGACATCTACAACGTAAATGCGCCACCCACCTTAAGACATAAGTTCTAAGGTCTCAGTTTAGAGCTATAACGGCTGCCCCACCCTTCAAACCGAAACGCATTACTGTTTCATAGCAGAAATAGGCTGAGTGGTGGTACCTACCCGTGCGGACTCACAAGAGGTCCTACCACCAGTGCACTCAGCAAACCCGTATTACTGTACATAGCTTTGGCTATTGTAAACAAACTTACAAATAGCAAATAAAAATAAAATTACGGGATCAAGAAAAAAAAAATCTAGTTACCTACTTAGGTAGGCTGATTCCTAACTCAATAATATTGTTTTTATTGAATTCGGATTGGTTTTTTTTACCCTTGTAGGCAGACGAGCATACGGCCCACCCGATGGTGAGTGGTTACCGTCGACCATGGACTTCAGCAATGCCAGGGGCAGAGCCAAGCTGCTGCCTACCGTTGAGTACTCTCCACAAGCCTCGTTTGAAGAAGGACATGTCATAGCGCTCGGGAAACACCGTGATGGAGAGCTCATTCCAAAGCCGAATGGTACGTGGCAAAAAAAATCTCTGGAAACGCACTGTGGGTGAACGCAGTGGCTCCAGGTAGTATGGATGAACTCTACTCCGATGGCGGGCGGTGCGATAGTAAAAACGAGATGATGGTGTCATCTCAAATAATTCCTCAGAGCACTCCCCATGGAACATACGGTACAAAATGCAGAGAGAAGCGAAGTCCCTCCGCAGACCCAGAGGTTCCACACGCGAGGCCGGACTTGTTCTTTATAAAGCAAAAGTCTTTGTCCAGGCGTGAATTACCGCTTCACTCTGTTGAGGACTGCCAGGATATTTTATTTATAAATACGTATTTATATAAAGTCACACACTTTGTTTTAACATTTAAATGATATGTACATATTATCTTAAGTTATTTCTTGGTCTCTTAGCCGAGGTTTGAAGAGGCAATTTATATTTTTATTCTTAATTTAATGTGTGTGTATCCCCCATGTTTGTTTGCTATTAGCTAATGAAATAAAACCCGAATTGCGATTGTGCCCAGCCACTGTTCCGATACCCCAAAATATTACATTAGCGCAATTACGAAATCATAAACACTAATATGATCAAAATTGTAATAAATGTAATAAAAAAGATGTGTGGTGTCGTGGGACACCGGATAGGGACGAAATTCCTTATTATAAAAATATTAATTTTAAGTTCTATTCGAGGTATAAAGAAAACTAGAGGTCCCGCAGTAGTCGAAATTCGACTATATTTAATTGGAATTGTAAGTTTGTAGACTATTATGATTCTATTTTATACTTCCATAATCACAAATTTCGCCAAGGCTACACTATAAAAAAATATTAATAAAGACAAACAATATTTAATCTATTCTCAATTTGACCACAGACGTCAAGAACAAAAGTTTGACAATAAAAAGTATGCATGCGTGTGTGCGTCAAATACATGGTATGTAGTATGTGTAATGTTTTCTTTATTGATTTAATGTATCTTTTATGCATTATTTAAAAAATATATTAGATTTGTGCATTTCTTCTCTATATTCTCTATAAGTGTGGAAAATTTGATACTCCTCCGTCCGCGCAATTTTCGTAAAAAGGGATACAAAGTTTTTGCTTCACGTATTAATATAAAGAAAATAATTATTGTTCGGGTATACATTTTTTATTATGATTTTTTTATTGATAAAAATAAAAATAAACTACTTTACAAAGTTATCAACTTTTTTTTATTCACACTTATTTATAAAAAATATGTTATTTTTTGTACGTTATTACAAAGTTAAGCCGTACACTGTGTGTCGTACACTAATAAAAATCTTACGCTACGGACGTTTTTTCCCGGTTAGGGTACTCCAGCGCATCGTCCCGTAAGGAACTTCGTTCCAAAAACTTTTTGTACTTTATAATAGAAACTTTGTAATCAAAAACTTTTTTCCTACCTAAGCTGATGGTCTAGAGAGACCATATTAGCGTAACCTTAACTAGTAGGTGAGCTCACGGGGCTCAAACGTGACGATCTTGTTAACACGAACCCTAGCAAGAGCAGTGCTTCGCAGAATTTACCATCGGATAGGAAACGCGACCCACTGAGAAGATCCGGCGAGGAACTCAGTGGGCTGTGTCTATGGGCTTGTTCGCTCGTCGAGCTCTTCGTCGTAGTCGACGAGTTCGACGAGGATGGGGACCGGTGCTTGAGGGTCCTAAAAGCACCGAGAGTGAATCCGGGGGGACATAAGGAAATCGTTTAAATGCTGAGTAAGAATAAAGGCTATTACTTCGCGGCAGGAACGAGCAGAACAGCGATACCTACCCACGCGGGCCTACGCTACTCAAATCGAGACAATTTCTATCATAAGTGAACAAAATAAAGTTGTATGCAGAACTCTAAAATAACATGGAATATTTTGATGTTTTGTCGTAAACAAGACACATTTTAATATTTACACACGTGCTGAACATATTGTTAACCAGCGACCCGCCCTCGCTTCGCTTCGATAGCTGAGTCCCGCGATGCTACCCGCGGTTATTATCGTACCGCGGATGACGCCGCGGGGCTAAGCTAGTCTAAAAAAAGTAACCCAAGTTACTCCTTATATCATCAGCTACCTATCAGTGAAAGTCCCGTCAAAATCAGTCCAGCCGTTCCAGAGATCAGTCGGAACAAACAGACTGACAGGCAGACATACAAAAATTGTAAAAAATGCTATTTTGGTGTATGTACCGTATATATATCCATATGCATGTAGCAAAAAGCGGTTACTTCAATATTACAAACAGACACTCCAATTTTATTTGTATGTATAGATGAATGCGGTCGTTACGCGAATCACATGTTTTGGTGGGCGGTCGTGTTAACAGCTCGGCTGATTGTAAGCGATCGTGACCCATATTCGAGATAAGGTCATGGATATTAACATCGACAATGTTTGTGTTGTGATAATTCGGGATGATGCATTTGAGATATCGTTGTTTATCTTGACCTATCTATGCAAGTGAGGGAATATTTTAATGTCATCCCTGCCGATTTTTTTTTTATGATTGATGAGTTACTGCTTTCCAGTTTCACCAGGATAGGTGGGCGAGTAAGGGCTCAGCCAGGCGGGGTGGGATATGCTAACAGCTGCCCGAGCGCCTCCGAAGAAGACCTAACAACTCAAGAGTAACTGCTTCGCGATTAAATCTACTACTGGATCGGAATTGCGACCCGCTGAGAAGATCCGGCGAGAAACTCAGCGGGCTGATGCATGGGTTAGTTTGCACGTCGACCTCTTTGTCGAGTTCAACGAGTACGGTTACCGGGGTCCCTAAGCCTGCTCCTAGTGCTAGAGCTGAAGGCGTCTAATGCAAAGGTTATTGGATCTGATGGATCCGTAAGGACGTGTCTAGGGCGTCGACGGTGACTGGCTCCTGCGTGATCAGGATTCTATTATTCAGGATTCAGGATGCTATTATTCAGGATAATATTAAGTTTGTAAAACAATGCTAATTATTCGCTTTGTTGATATACAATAACGCTTTGAGCGCGAACCGTCGATAGATTGAATTCTATTAATGCGTATGAAGTACGGAGCGTCGGAATACAGACTATTGCGCAGTTCGATTGTAGGACTCTATGAAGTGCAGAGCGTCGGAATACCGACTATTGCGCAGTTCGGTAATAGGTATTAAGTGTCAACCTGTACGGACGAGTCTAAGCGCGCTAATGAATAACGTTTTTAATTAGTTTATATTTATTTAACACGTATTTTACAACACGGTTTCATTCTAACGCGATTTATCGATCGGATATAATTTGACCTTCACTGAAAATCAAGCTCCGCGATGTCCGTCACGAAGCCAAGAATCCCAGCAGATGGAGGGAAATCGTACGCCAGTAATGAAGCGGGGGAGTCACCACCCTCGTCAAGACAACTGTAGACACTATGGACCAATAACATTAAGGACAATCAATATTTAATCTATTCACAATTTGACCACAGACTTTAACAATAAACAAAAAAGTGTATATGCGTGTGTGTCAAATACACGGAAGAGTGTGTAATGTTTTCTTAATTGGTTTAATGGTTTTTTATGCATTATTCAAAAAAAATAGCATTCTGCACTCCTTCTTTATATTATTCTCTGTGAGTGTGGGAAATTTCAACCTCCTCCGTCCGCGCAATATTCGTAAAAAGGACTACCCTTTTTAAGATTAAAAAGGGTAGCCCTTTAAAGCTTTTGCTTCACGTTTCACTTGCTAAGTAACAAAAATAATGATAACTTCTTAGGTAAATAAATATAACGGAAGAAATCGTAAATAATGCTTATTAACAAAAAAAATTACTACTATATTAGAGACTGATACTTGACATTTTTAATATTTTAAATAACATTATAATCTCATTATTATTGTTCATTCTTTATTTCATTTTGTTTTCTTTAACTAGAGTATTTGTACTTTAGTACCCGTATTAATTTAATTTTGAGTTAAATGTGTGAATTGGAATGGATTATTGTTATCTGAGCATACCTTATCCTGTGGACCGAATGGTAAACAGTCGATTTCGCCCTAAACACGTCATTACGAATCCTCCCGATCCATTAACGGTGCTTTTAGGTACCGGTACCCAAGCACCGGTCATCGTCCTCGTCGAACCCGTCGCTTGCGACGAAGGGCTCGACGAGTCAATTAA